TAATCATGATTTTTAACAAAATAATTTTAATTAGAAGAGTTAAAAATTTTTGTACTATAATCTCATATTTCTATTTCTGTTTTTTTATGAGTATGTGCGAAATCTTACTTCATTAGTCACAGTATTGAATCGAAATGAAAATTTACTGAAGAAAACAACACGACTAGCCACAGTATAATCGATAGATATGGTAGGCAGTTTATCAGGGAACGGCGTCATAACAAAACCTGATAAATGTGCATAATGTGCTTCTCGTGATTTCAAAAATTCCGACGTTCGAATGCTCTTGGGATTCAGCATCGATACTGGACCGAGCAGATGATTTATTACGATCGGCAAATAAAAAGCGTAACTGGCCAAATCGACTGGTCGAAAGTGCAGATAAAACTTTTGACTTGCGCCTGGGACGATGGTGATCCCTTCCAGACCTTTTTGTTTATCAAATATAAATCACGGTCAAACTACCTGATTTATTAGATATAATTCGTAATACCTAAATTATCGATCGTTTTATTAATTATTAAAATTACAAATCTACATTTCTTTAAAAAAAATATTAACTCTTAAAGAGAAACATTATTTATTTTATTATTTTAGAATATTTATTATTTTAGATTATTAAATTTCCTTTACCTATTTTCGAGCTCCTGACGTTTGCCGACAAAGAGATGTGAAATTCAGGATAATCTTCTAACATGAATTGCAGTTTTAATAATGTCGTCCCGATGTTTGTCGCTGTTATTTGCTGAATTTGCAGAGCATCAATACTGACGCGTTTCATGTTTATTCTTTGCGGCAGCAGTTTTAATCGTGGAAACGATACAGTCCCGTTTATTTTATATGACAATTTTAGGCATCCTTGAAGTTTAACGACAATTACAGTCGTAAAACGGCAGCAAACATCGAATGTAAGCTGTACCTGAGTAATGGCGAATATTTTTATTGCAAGATTGCATACGAAAAGTATTACTACTGACTGGCAGAGGACATACCTCAAGGATCACGATACCACGTGGAGATATTTTTCCTCGTGGTGGATTAACACTACAGCCGTGTACCATTAACGCGCTGTCTATCTCGTATGTCACCTCGTTAAAGCCAAAGTTTTGGAGAATGGCGATCACTTTCGTTGGTAAATTGAGAGGTATTTCTCCGAGATCCGTATTGTCATTAATAAATTTGACTCTCGGTGCAAATCTCGGTGCGCTAAGCAGCAAAGATACGTAACTTCCGCTCTCACACTTCATTATTACTTGATCGTAATTATTAACGTTATCAGATTTGTAGTATACATAAGCGTGTAGAATCGCATTACCTCTTACGAAACCTGATTTCGGTTCTATGTAGAATCCAGACGTCACTAGTATTTCCCATCTGTAATAAATTATGTAACTTGTGCTATATTATAGATATTTGATATCTGACTATTTTATGAAAATTTATCAAAATTGTGAGTAAAAGTATTGATTGTTAGAAAATTGAATTCAATTCCAATTTAAATAATTTTTTTTAATTCTTTTAATTATTAAGATAATTTATATTATAGATTTTTAATTACATAAATTATTGTTTTTTTATATTAAAAAATGCATTTTACTTGAAATGTGTTTTTGCATCCAATTTGTTTATAATTCGTACAAAAGAAGCTATTGGTTGATAAACTTCTTCATTCAACCATTCCTTTCCAAGTTGAATTTCTCTTTTGTCAAGCTGCAGTTGCTTGCGAACAATGTTGGCAGTAATATCGAGTTCGAAAGAATGATTATCATTAATCACGTAAGTGATATATCCATTAAACCTGCCGATTCTGGCCGCGAAATATTCAACTAATCTTGTCGTCGTTGAGTCTGGTTGCAAAATTATTATATTACCTTCTGGAAAGTGGATACGCTTTGGCAAATTCAATAATCGTATCATCACTGGAACGTCGTTGGTATTTTTTATAACCAACTGATGATAATTGAAGCTATTCAGTGCTACCTATCAATCACCCAATATCTGAGATTAAAATAATTTAGCAAGTTTTTATCAATTCTTGTTTGTACAATTTATCATATAGCCCATAATAATTAATTAAATTTAAAAAGTTTTATAAAAGCTTTTATAATATTTTTGTTTAAAAAACGAGAGAAAGAGAGAGAGAGAGAGAAAGAGAAATTAATTTTTTGTAATTTTTGAAATTTTTGATCGATTTTATGAATTACTATATTATGTTTCGAGTTACTTACCTTGCCAAAGGCAAAAGTGGTTGGATAAATATGAACTTTATATATTTGTAAAGGTGATAAAGGTATCAATACAGCTGTCTTGGCAGAAATAGATTTCTTCAACGAAGAGCATACATTTTCTACAGATCTTTGTATTATTTCCGAATAGTTTTTATATGATAATTTGCATTTAGGTAAAAATAAAAGGCGTTTTATGATTTCCTCGTCGTCATCCATTACTTTTGTTGGCAAACTCCTTTTGCCTTTATTAAAAAAATACATGGGAAATGTTAAGTAATTTAATTTTTTACCAACTAGAATTATTTAACGTAGACTTACTTAAAAGTCCCTTCATGGATTTGAAAATAATATTCACCGTGCATTTAACGAAAAAACTTTTAACTTTTATTCTTTTGAAGCATCGTATTCTCGATATAGTTAGGTCGTAGGAATCCGCTATAACGTTGAAGAACAATTTGAAGGAAGGTGTAACTGTAAAAATAAATAAAGATAAAACATATAACAATTTGCTTCTGTACAATGCTCAGATCCATTTAATGGAATATATATTTCGAAAGAAAATACAAGTGATTTAAAATATTTAAAAAATAGAAGAAATTTGTTTAATTAATATGAATACAAAAAATAATAAAATCAATATGTTTAATATGTAAAAAAAAATCTAAGAAAATTGCGGAATGTATTTTATCGTTGTGGTAAATATGGCTATGATATTAGAAAATCAGTAACGCAAGTGGTTATTTCTAATTTCTAAATAAAACGGTGATTATTTATCACGTGATTATTTATCGCGTCTGACATATGTTACTAATATAGTTGAACAGCTTATTGACATTTATTAAAAGGTAAAATATTTATACAATAACATTTTTGCATTACTTTAAACTAGATGGATTTTAGTCAGAAGAGTAAATAAACGATAAGAATGCTTGAGAAGGAATAAAAAAGGATACTCTACTCTAATATGTAAAATCGACAGGAATAAAAGGTATTAAATATTGAAACAGCAATGGTAGAAGCAGACAATATTTCATATTGAAAAAGCATTATCTTACTGACATGATAAATGAATTTTAGTAACTTTCGATTTTTGAAGATACTTAGTAGTGGCAGAAAATTCTCTATCCCTCGGTTCTATTGAAATTTTTGTAAAAGATCGCTCAAGTAGAAAGTAACTCAATAGCTTCAAGGTTCGAAATAATAATTTACAATAGAATTTTTTAAATAAGAAAACTTATACTAACCTTACAATGTTAACAATAAAAATGGCATACCATTGCTATTTTTCATTTTGCGGATTGTCACGCGATTAGTCACGTCAAAATATTGAACTTTGAAATGCATTGTTAACGTTTAAATATAAATATTTTAAACATTTTTAATATTTTGAAAGTATTTCTTAAAAAAAAAGATATTTGGGAGAAAAAAACTATATAATAGAAAAAAATTTTTTCTTAAAATATTATTTCATGAATTTGTAAATATAAAACTAAAATACTTTACTGTATTTAAAAAGTATTTGTAATAATTACTACTTTCTTTGCCGCGAACTTTAACAAGAACTTCTGTCGATGCTTTCGGATTAAGTTTCATCCAATTTGGGTAGCAACGTGCGACTGCATTTGGCGCACATTCTAAATATATTAGTGCAACGGCAGAAGGATTTGTCAGGCGAAGTACGCGCTGTGATATCTGGCCGACAATCAAGTCTTCAAAATAGAGGGTATCAGGTTCGAAACACAATTGTACTGTTTCCACTTCGCCATAAAGACAAAGCTTTATCATCTCATGGGTTTCTAAATCAGTGCTGAATATTAACGATGGAATTTCCATCAGTGAGTTTTCTGTTAAAATACATAACAATTACTTTATTACGTCTATTATTTCCTACAAAATTATTTATAAGATTATTTAAATATTTTTTCAAGAGATATTATTTAAAAAGGAATGGTTACTCACGTATATAAATTTTTTGTGATGGATAATCCATCACAGTATCCTTTACAGGCTCAATCCCTAGAAACATTATTTAACTAATCAAATATAAATTTATTTAGTTGATTTTATTACCATTAAAATATTTTAATCGTAAAATTTTTTCAAATATTTTTAATGCTCTCTTACTTAAAAATTCTAAATTCTGTAAATTTGATTTTTCTATTAAATGCTGCAAAAATGTATACTAACAATGCAAGATAAGCAAAAAGACGCACCGATAATATCTTCTGATTCTATGCAATGAATTCGAACTATTCTAATAAATTGCATAAAATCTTTATCTTTTAGACTTGGACGTCCATTTTTATATTTTTCATGCAATTTTTGTTCATGTTCTTTTCTCCATTGCGTTAATATGTTTATTGGAGAAAATCTAAAATTATTTATTAAATATTGTTTTTTAATACGTAACATGATTTTTTTACTCAATATACAATAATATTGAACTCACTTTACTTCAAAGATGATACTTTGGAATGGATTTATTCGCCCTTCGAGCGGATAAATTTCAAAAATATTAAAAGTCGGATATTGATTGCGATCGATATCCTACAAAAAAAATAAAATTACGTACAAGCCTAAGCGATTAAAAATTTAAATTAATATAAGTCAAGTTAAAACATAAGTAAAAAAACTTTGTATCTTCCAACAATCCGCTATCGATTTAAGATTTTTATCTTGTTTGTAGAAACAGTTTCATACCCGAATGCATTTTACTTCATTATCGAGCTCTCCGAGAACGACATAATTGGAGATTCGAGACGAAAGATTACGCAAGACGAAAGTGTCGTATCTACTAGTATTTTCTATTGTAGGTGGAAAATCAACAAAGGTAAGATCTCCGATCGTATTCGGATGATAAACCACCAATCTCGGAACGATGACATGTACTTTGATTGGAACACGTATGTTCGGAACAGATTTAATCCTGAGAAAATTTGTTATCGAATTTATCTTGCGAAAAATACGATAACAAAACAGCAAGAATATCTTACCAAATCTCGCTATAAAAGATGCCTTCATTTACGCCCATTAATTCGATTTGAAGTTTTATTTCCTTTCGCGGTTTAATTCTTCCACGAGAAGGCTTTACGGTTATATTTAAATGATGTCCGAGATCAACAGAAAATCTGGAAAATTGTTATTTTAGAATTTACAAAATTCAAAATTTGTTGCTTAAAATCAGCTCAGTTTAACGCGATATATCGAATATCGCGATATTCGAAAAATTTTCAATTTGAATAATGCATATACCTGGTACTTTTATTTCCTTCGTTACGGATTGTTAAAATTTTAAAACCTGACGCATAACCAATGTCAATTGTACCAAAATCTATTGACTTCGGCTCGATACTAATATATTCGCTGGCTAATGTAGACATCACGTGATAATCGAAAACTTTTCCATTGATCTCAATTGGAATTATTGCGTGCAACATGGATGTTCTTTTAAAAGTGTAAGTCACACATGTCGTTATATTTAATCCAGGACTCAGCCATATGCTACTTTTCAAAGTTTCTACTTGGAAAGCCTGTCAAAGAACCTTAACTATTAAGAGTTTCTTATATATTAAAACGAACAAATTGTAACTTATTTATATTTACTATAGAATTTGGCTGCCGAATTTTGACGAAGGCAGATTTATAGCCGATGTTCTTGATAGTCATACGCTGTCGATACGTAATTCCTTCAAAAGCTTCATTGAATTTTATATGACTCGGTGAAATGTACACATTATCATGCTTTATACCTGCTAATTCATCTATAGGAAGTGCTATTTGTATTTCCTTTCTCTCTTGTATCATGACGATTGACTTTTTATTCTATTATTAATAAATGTTTAACCAACATTTTTGTGAAATATATCATATATGTATAAACATAATATATATATAATATTTAACAAATTGATATAATTAATACAAAAAGAAAAAATGCGACTCTTCAAGAAATAATAAATACAAATATAAAAATTAAGCTTTTATCGTTTGTATAATGCTAACGAAAAATGGCATTATATACGCAAATATTGTACTAATATTTTATATTTTTAAAAAATTTTTCGTTTCTATATATTTTAATTTTAATTATGTTTAATTATATTTAATTTTTTATTATTTATGAATTCGTGGTTTTGCTTATTTTGTTATATTTATCTCGTAATTAAAAGATATTGTTTATTTTAATCTTCTTACAGTTGTCATTGAAAGATTCATCCTGACATACAAATTATACCATCTACTGTTGAAAAGAGATTCGATCAGACAAATTATTTAAAAAGATGTATATGGCTTTGATTAATATCTTCCAAATTATAAAACTTATTTCTGTTTTGACATATTGTCAATATTCACG